TGTAAAATGTCTCGGTAAATGAGAGAATTGGTTGTGCGCTTTTTAATAAAGCAAGTGAAAAATGAGTCATTTAAAGAACATAGTAAATCACCAAAAGTGAAAGTGCATAACTGTGAACTGAAAGCTTGAAAAATGTCTTATCTGATTCAAGTGAGCATTCTAGTTTATGTTTAACAATTAAAAATCCTATATAATAAGTATTATAAGAAAATGTGGTTATGTTTTAAACCTCCGTTTTCGCTATATTTTAACAGCCAGAAGCCGAGCTTGTGACCTTCATGGACATAGAACACAAACTGGACAGTCTTCCTGTAATAAAACACACTGCTGCCCATCTCAACTCGTTGAAGGTAATCATCCAGTTTCTCCTATCAGTGATTTAAACGGTCGAAATGCACTCTAAATGCTATCAAAGTTTAAAAGATATTCACTTAATTTGTCGCCTTAACATCTCTGCAGGTTAACGAGTCTCTCTCTCAGCTCTACGTGTACGTCGAGTCCTTCAGGCTGCACACCAAGTGGTTGAAAACTGCACAAGTAAATGTCAGTGTGCCCTTTCAGGCAGCTGAGGGCGCCAGCAACCACCTCGAGCAATTGTCCAATCTCACTAAAAAATTTCTAGAAAAGGTGAGAGCAACAGTATGGCTTGAATTTACTGAGTCTGCTTGTTTTTAGAAAGAAAATCCACTGAAAATGACACACAAGAGATTTCTTACACTTTAATTTAATATTAACTTTAACTGAAAACTGATACTGTTGATATTAGAGCAAAAAGTAAATTAAAGAATATGGCTACAAAATGTAAAAGATAGTGTTTGACATAACAATGTAAAACTTTAACTTTGACTCACATTCATCTTTTGATTTTTTTGTTTTTTTGTGTTGTTTTTGACCACGTAGTCATTACATAATTTAATCACCACCTGGGTTAAAAAAATAAAGGAATAAAGACTAAATTCTTAAACTCTTTTTTCCTGTCTCTCAAAGAAAGCAATGACCAAAATATAGATTAACAAAAGGAAACAAACAAATTAAGAACAGACCTGACATTTAATCATTCAACTCCACAGCTAAATGTATTGATTCCCATTAAAACTCATCCAGAGAGTGAAGAGAAAACAATCAGTTTTTGTGCTTTCTCTGATTCAACCAATGACTTTGGTTTCTTTTTCTTTCCATCTTCAGATCGGTGAACAAGTTCCTCAGACGGCGTCTCCCTCCCTCCCGGTCGTCTCCACAGCCTTCGAGGCTCTCAGGTTCTCTGTAGAGATCTCAGACCGGCTACAAGTCTTCTGTCACTGGTCAAAAAGAATCTTACGGCAACTCCAGAGACGATCCCCCTGTCCAAAACATTAAACTCAAGCCTCCAAGACAAAACTAGTGATGTCTTCCTACATAACCACTGTCACGTTTTATGATTTTCCCTTCAGCATTTGAGCTGGACTAAAAAATATTGAATATTTGATGTCATATCATGTCATGACAGGATATGATATTTAATTTTCCATTACTCTGAAATTTCTCATATTTGATTGAGGTCCATGATACAGAACTTTGAGTTAAACGTCTCAACAGTGATAGGGTAATAGATGTTGATGTCTCCCTTAAGATGAACGGTCTGACGTCTTGTCTGTATTTTGTTTATTTGTTTAAAATTCAGTTACTTCACTTTAGTTTATTTTTAACAAATGCCTTTAAAACTGCAACTCCCAGCTGGACTAAACTTTGTGTTTTGTGCTAATAAGTCAGTTTTAGCCTGCTAACATGCTAATCTGAGACAGTGAACATTGAATATCTGCTAGCACCAGAATGTACTGTCATTGTTATTGTGAGCATTCTTAAATAGCTACTGTAGTCCAAGTACAGCCTTACGAAGCTACTAGCATGTCAGAAGTGGTGAGTAGAGAGTAGAGCTACAGAAAAGTTCAAAAAATGCAAGATCAAGGTTTCAGCATTTTTAAAATGAGAGAAATCTTACTGGATTATTGGGATTTTCTTTATGCTGCCTGTCATTAAGACCTATTTTGAGAAAAGGAAACGGAATGTACTGTACGTTAATGTAATTTGCTATTTATAAGACGTGTATGTCACAGTTTACGTGTCGCCTTTGAAAATGTATTGTATTAATGCACTGTGCTAAGGTACTGTCACCCGTGACCTTTACTCCCTCTCAGACTGTTTACACTCACAGTGCCTGCAGTTCGTGTTTTTTATTGTTATTTTCGGTACATAATTAGGTTACTATTTATAAGCTTTTATATTATGTATTTGTATATCAGTTTAGCTGCAGATGCAGGCATCTCCAGCTAAACATTTTTCTATGTCAAAGTATTTTGTAATATTTAATAATAATATCTATTATCATTCTATAAACCATCATATTGCTATTTATATATTTGTATGTCTTGTTTTACAGTCATTAATAAAACTGCCTTAGAAACTGATGTAAGTGCTCAGTGTGATACTTTTGGGGTTTAGGGACACAAGAATAAGTGTGTGTGTGTGTGTGTGTGTGTGTGTGTGTGTGTGTGTGTGTGAGTGTCTGTGTGTGTGTTTGTTTTTTGAATATAATTACATTAAAGAGATTTTTGATTATTTACTTTAACATTTGCTCCTCACTTGTTAGAAAAACCTCAGCACTGGTGTTTTTTATAGTTTTGATCATCACAATCTCCTGTGTTGAGTTCAGTATATTTTTGAGTGCATGATGCAGGAAACAGAAGTACAAACATAATGGGAGAGTTGGTTACTGATTGTGCAAACCAAACACAAAATCCAAAATTGTTGAGTCCATGAAGGCATGATGAACAAACCACCAGGGAACCCAAAGATCCAAAAAGGAACGTGAAACCGGAAACACAGAGATGACATTTTTATATTTTGGCTGCTTTGACACAGTAATTTCCCAACCTTTGAGTAAGATAAAGCATATTTCTATTTTAACTGAGACCATAAACTCATTAGGAAATCTTCACTGAGTTGTAAGTCAAAAGTAATTTCCAAACCCTTGAAGTTGCTTTTGATGTCATGGGAGTCGCCCCCTGCTGGCTATTAGAAAAAATGCAGGGCACTTCAGCATTGACTTCCCTTTTTAGTTTATACACACATATATATATATATATATATATCTATATATATATATCTATATATATATATATATCTGCTGAATCCCAAAAAGGAACATGGTTTTATACAACTTTTCCCCTTAAAGCTGAATAAATACTCCTAGCTTCTTGAGTAGAAAACACAAACATGCCACACATGTCAGTGGAATGCTAAAACTTTTAAATAGCAGGGGTAAAAGAGCCCACACAAGTCCAGGTGACACATGAGGGGAATGTACCGACTGCCACTGTTCAGCTGCGACCTGTAACCCTGAACTGAAGTGACACCGTGTTGCTTGCATAATGAGGATTGCATATGAGCGTGTTGACATTTAGGCACAGACAGATGATCTCACTCACAGACAGACTTTCACTGTAACTAATATGAGGCCTCCAGAGGAACACTGCAGTTGTCCAGTATGTGTGGACTGTGGTGGCTGGTAGCAGCTGAGAGCAGGATCAGTGAAATCACAAGGGGTCCGGGTGTTACAGGAGAATCCTTTCACTGGATATAGAGCTAGAGAGGGTTGAAGAAAGGCGTGACTATATGTGTATGATGTGTGCTAATGGGTTGACTTAGTGACCAACGGAGCAACAAGGGACCAGCAGAGGAGGGAATAACCAAAACAACAATATGCTGACTAAAAATAGTTTTTGTTTTATTGGTACCATTAAAAAATATGACACCAATGTTCAGTTTGGTTCAGTTCCTCATAGATTACTATGAGCTGATAAAATGCTCTTCATCTCGGTGCCAGAGGACACTTCACTGGTGTTTACAAGTCAATGTTCAGAGCAGCTGTTGAATATTTAAAATGACAGAGAAAAAAGAAAAAGAGGAAAGGAACATAAAAGACATGTTGATCATGCTACAGATTAGAAACAGGCTGAATAAAGATTCTTCAGCTTTTTTTGAATGACACTTGTTGATTTAAAATCACAAAGCCAAATATTTGGGTCATTACAGGAATGTAGTCTCATATGTTCCATGTCCTCTGCTTCACCACATCTGCACAAGAAGAGTAGGCCACAGTTACGTGTGGGAGCTGAAAACAACTCAATACATTACTGTAAGTGCAATAAATGCTTCCCAGTGAGTGCTGAACCTAACATGACTGCATGAGGAAAAGAATCCAACTGTCGGCTACATTTTCCTTTGAGAGCAACAGATTTTTGTGGGGGTTTGTACTTTCTCCTTCCATGCTCTTCCAAGCTAGTGTTCCTTTTTGAAAGTATGCAGGTCTACCATTGTTAGGTGGCACTGAGGTGTGGTGTAGAAAGCATTGAAAAACACACCACTCAAGCTTTGGCATTCAAAATAAATATCAGATCTCAGATATTTGCATTCCAATCACAGCAGTAATACATTTTATCAAACTGGGTGCCATATTAAGTGAGATTTATTCTTTGACTTGATCACCTATCCATTTTCTTAACCATTTATCCAGCTATCCAGGACTATATCATGGATCCAGACTAATTCCATTGTCCTTTGCTGCAGCTGTCTATTGTCAAACCACCAACATTTATTCTTTAGCAGACAACAAAAGCCATTTAAGATGTGTCATACTTTCTACAAATTTCTGGGGGTTTTTTTACTTTATTTTTATGACAATGTGCACTAAAGATTATTTCATAGAGAGTCATGTTTTTAGCAGTCGTCAGTGCCACTTGTGGAATTTTAAGTCAATTTTGAAATTACAGTCACAATTGTAAAATGTGTGAAATGTTCAACAGAGATAACTGGTGCAAAACACAGGTCAACTGAACTCAAAACCCAAATAATGACAGGTTGGAGGTAACATACGGTCTTCTACACACACAAACATGTGTGGATCCGCCTTTCACTGCAATAAGAGAGGACACGAGGAGGAGGGGAGGTGAGGACAGAACACTTTGGGATAAAGGTTGTAGCAGCAGCAGCAGCCACGAAAGCCTCTCGCAATCCAGTCGAAGGGTTTTCCTGACTGAGTGCAGACTACAACCAAACTCTGCCGGCTGCGACAATTCTGCATTTTGGTGCGGTGGGTGGAAAGAAGACTCGGTGTGGAGGCTCTACCAGCTGGTGCACCTGCTAAATGAAGAGGAGAACGTAGCTTTGGATCACCGACTTTGAACTGAACAACTGCAGCAACATGACGGTAAGTCAGAGGTGGAGAAGTATCCTGTGTAACAAGGACAGTTATTCTCGAAGGAGATATTTTAATTATTGATTTGTCCTAACCTGGACCAATCAAACCCAAATTACCTCTGGAAAACTTAATTTAAAAAATACACTGGCTCATCCAATCATTTAAAAATAATTTAAATAGAGTAACTGGATACAATGCACACTGCACTCACAGTGTATGTGCATTAATATGTCGACCCATCAAACTTGGCCCAATTACAGTTGAGAATTTTAAAGAAAATATATTTAATTACTAAGAATTTGGAACCATTAGAAATTCATTAGGACCATGTAAACTATAAAAAGTGATGGTATGGTAATGGCCACATCATGTATTTAGTATGGCTCATTTCAGCATCAGCTGTTTACAGTGATTGTTTTACACATGTTTTCTATTATTTGTAAATGTTGCTCTACATGTGAATCATAAACCCAAATGGCTTAATTACTAAATTAGTGCAAAATATGATTTTGGGCAGAGGGATGAGTACAACAACCACACCCATCATTTGCAGCAATGCCTTTTATGGCAAACATGGTCAAAAACTGGCCAGTTCTTAACAGTTAAATCGTCTGGTGGTCAGTAAAAATATAACGTGCATTTGGACAAACAGTACTTTGTAATTGATGTAAATATTTTGTATTACCACACAAATGCTACAAATCTTGGTACCCTAAGTAGCTTATAGGCTTAGTTTCTTCAAGATTGAAGCAGTAATCTACGAGTTTGGGAACAGACATAGAGATATACATATACTACACTCATTAAAGTATTTCAGACTCTATGCATCCTTTGTATGTTATTAATCTTCATGGTGTAAGATCTAACACGTGTCAGTCTCTGGTTTTGCTAAGGTGAAGAAACACACAGACACATTAAAAGGCACAGAAAGAACATCTTATCATCATAGGTGCTTTGTGGTCCCCAGAGATCCATTTTCATATAGAGGACATCACCAGGTCATTTATCTCTGAGACACACACATCAGTTACCACTGGTCCAGCTTTGTGTTTGTCTCAGCCCGGCATCCCACTGAGGGCTGCTGGAGTTGTTCTGGTCAGGCTGAAACTGATCCTGACTTCATCTTACATCTTTCTGACCTCCGAGGCCGTCGGCTATGCTGCTCTTTAAACACCGTCTTAACTGCCTCTTTGCATTTAGTCTCACTAATGGAAAACTTTGGATTTTTCCCTGTTATCTGAGCAGGAATCTTCTACATGATCCCTGCTCTTCAGTTAAACCATGCACCTTCATATTTAGAGATAAAAGAAGCATATTAAAATGTATACTGTGTGTTTTAACACTTATTATTAGACCCACAATAACGAAGATGTTATATTTTTAAAAAGTCACAAACAATTTACTCCCTCATTTACTGATCCTGTTTCTGTTGCCAAAGTGCTTCCTCACAGGGTGTCTTGTCTGATTATTGGGGTTTTCTCTGTGTTTTTGTCTTTACCTTACAATATAAAGCACCTTGAGGTAACTGTTGTTGTAATTTGGACTATATAAATCAAATTTAATTAAATTGTTTATCTAACAAATTACATATAAACTGCTGCAAAGGATCAAATGGTCCTGCCATTTATCTCTGATAGTTTAGTAATCTGGGCATTACACAGATGCTCAGAGGGTTAGAGTTCAGTTTCCACCCAAACCACCCAGTGGAGGAGGATTAGAGAGCATAAAATGACACCCACTGATGTTGCAACAGTTTTTATTATTATTATTATTATTATTATTGATAGCTATCAAAAAGCATGGGATAAATATTTGTTGCATTTATTTTAGGAAGGCACATTTTGCCAAAGTTATAATCTTCATTTCTTTAAAATGGAAACTTAATGCAAAAACTTAATTTGGTGCAAATGATTAAAAATAAGGTGCATTTATTCCCAGCTAACTGCTAATGTAATGTAACTCTTTCTCGGGGCCCTTTTATGAAATTAAAGACAAATAAGAGTAAAATTCCCAAATTTTATGGGTAGAAAAATTTTAGGTAGATCCGAGTCATTCTCTTAGTGTGAACAAAGCCTCAGTGAAGGGTTCACAGCACATTGACGGCTCTGAGCTGTTCACTGATGAGCTGTAATGAGAGGCTCCCTGTCTGGATGCGTACGGTGACAGTTAATCCAAACTAACCCAGGCCCGAGGGTGCCAGCTGTAGTGGAAACATCACCAGACAAAACAAAACACTGCTGCGTGTGTGACTATGTGGGGGGATTTAACGAGGCTATTAACAGACATGTTTATACCCGGGAACGAGTATTGCAAGCATCACCATGACGACGATCATCCCTGCAATGGTGGTGTTACATTCCAAAGAGCTGCGAGGGATTCAGTTCAGAAGAGAGATATTTTAGGAAGTCAGTAGTATGATATCAATAAATAGTGTGGAGTCTTGTCACCATCATCTGCGTACATGAAATATAAGAAACCTGCTTATTCAGCCTGCTTTTACACAGGGACACTACTTACCTAGAAATCTTATTATGCAGATTTCTCACATTCCCACCCATTAAGCTTTGTATCAACAAAGCCAAAGACATTATACAAGTAGGAGACATGACACTCATGAATAGAGATCTATAAGAGGAAACAATCCCTGCTCCCTAAGGACCCACAACCTGTTAAACAGGAACCATATTAGCCAATCGTGTTGTTACACTGACACCTGTACACAGTGGAGGTTCATAGTCAGAGTATAGGAGTACAAACACAAAAAGATATTTTTAGCTTTCTTTAGTCAACAAACTTGAAGCTTTTTTTTTCATTGGATTTGACCAGTCAGTCTGTACTGGTTTAATGTTTTGTTATCTCACCCCCCCTATTCAATTAGATGTGGGCTTTAAATTAACCACCAACACTCAATTGCAAGACTAATATAAAATGTTATCACTATGCGGGTTTCTAAGCAACCACATAATCAGGTACTCCTGAAACCTACTGAGCACTTACCCAACCTACTTTGTTGCGGTAAAGATCTTTTAATAGATTTAAGAGATTACCTGTTGATTTCTTATTGACTGATACAAATTAATAAAGGTCATGTTGTTTTCGGCTTGTCACATAGGTTTTAGACAATTTTTAGACACTTTTATACAGACTTTTGAGTGGAAGTTTTAAAAGAAAACTGCCATCCTGTCGTGAGTGATTATGGTGAGTCAGATCTAAGAAAGCTGCTTGGGATAGCCAAAGGTCTTACTGAATATATGCCCCCCCCCCCCCCCCCCCAAAAAAAAAAACAAAAAAAAACAAAAAACAAAGAAACCACTGGAAGAGCATTGGTGTAATTACAGTACTTTGTGTTTATTTGTCCAGGCTGCCGCAAAACTTTTGGATGAGATGTGTCATCTGACGGCTCAGTCTCTGAACTCAATGGACACATCAGAGCACTTCAAGGTCCTGAAGCTGCTGGGTGAAGGCTCATATGGAAAGGTTATGCTGGCTGTACACAGAAAGAGAGGTGAGGAGCTAAACAAACACATTATGGCTTCAAGATCCCCTAAAAACACACCTACATCAGTACAGTATCTTTGGATCTTTCAGGTACTCCGATGGCTCTGAAGTTCTTCCCTCGTGACTCTACTTCTCTGTTCTCTTTCCTGAGGGAGTATAACCTCTCCCTGTCATTCTGTACACACCCATCCCTGACCAGAGCTCTGGGAATAGCCTATTCCACACCATCACACTACATCTTTGCTCAGCAAGCCAGCCTCTTCGGTGATCTGTACGAAGTCATCATACCTGAGGTATAAAGATTTTAACAAAGGACTTATGATTCCTGAACAATTTAACTCACACTGTATTTATGTTTTGGAAGATAATTTGTTTTGTTAGACGTTGAAATAATTATTTTATATTTCTATCTTCTTCTTCTCCATTTGTTCTGTAGCTTGGTATGGAGGAGGACTGCTGTCAGCGGGTGGTGTCTCAACTGTGTGGTGCGCTTTCCCACCTGCACTCTCTTGGTTTTGTCCACAGAGATCTCAAACCAGAAAACGTCTTCCTTTGTGACTCTGCCTGCCGCTGGGTCAAACTGGGAGACTTTGGCATGGTCAGTATGAAGGACAAAACTAACATAAATAACAATAGCATCTAGCTGGCAGGTCTATTAACAAGCTGTTCACTAAGATATGATGCAGAAGAAAACCAAGTAAAAGCAGCCGCCTATGGCTCAGATGTGTTCTGCACAAGACTTATGGCATATTTCATCTAATTTATCCATATTTGCATCCACTATCAGTCTAAATGTGGCAAATCAATATTTACCCAGGTAAAGTCCAGGGGAACCAGGATCCCAGAAGTCTGGTACAGTTCTCCTTACTGCACCCCCGAGGCTGAGGTTGCTCGAGGAAACAATGACAGCAGCAATATAACTGATGGAAATGATGGCATCAAGGATGGTGAAGAGAAGAAGAAAAAGAGAGTTTGGGTTTCCGTGGAGCCAAGTACAGACAGCTGGGCACTGGGCATCCTGACATATGCCATGCTTACCGGCAGCCACCCCTGGGCTGAAACAGCCAGTGACTGCCACTCATACCTGAAATATCAAGAGTGGTTTGAAAGAAGTAAAAGCCCCAACGATGAACTGGACGTATGGGCTGAGCCACAAACAGAGAGCCCGCAGGATCTGGATGAGGCTGGACTGGAAAAGAAGAAGCACATTCCCAAAGCTCCCCAGTTTGCATGTTTCACCCATTTGGCCTGTTCCTTTTTCCAGTCACTCCTCAACCCACGGCCACAGCTACGTAGGCAACCTGATGAGGCTTTGAGTTACCTGGGAGGAGACTGGATGATGGAGAAAGAGAGGGTGAGGCTGGAGAAGGCGCGTAAGAAGAGTAGAGGGAAAGGAGGGATCAGAAACATGAAAGAGATGGAGGGGAGAGGAGAGCGTTAAGTTAACAAAGTCTACCAAAACTAAGCTGAAAGAGACAAATGTCTTTCTATGCTCTTTTCTGTCTTCACTTTAACCTTACAAAAGCCTCACACTCCTGGAGTTCTCTTCCTGTTAAAAGGAGTTCTTCCTCCCTACTCTCACCAAGTGCTGACTGATAGGGGATCATTGGGGTTCTCCCTCTGATACCGTGGAGGCTTCACCGTAATCACAAAGCACCTTGAGACAACTTTTGTTGTGACTGCCCACATTAAAAAGTGAATTGAATAGAAATTACATTTGAAAGTTGAGCACATACGATTTATGTTATTCACAAGTTAATTTTGTAACTTTACATCACTGCTTTTTAAATTCTTTCTGTTTTTCTGTTGCATAGATTAACACAAAAAAAATACTACACTATGGCCAATGCTGAGGTAAGCTTCTATTACATTTAACTGCGAGCCATCAGGTTGTGTAAGGGAAAGGAAGCAGGTGGTCGATGTGTTAGAAGAAAAAAAAAAATCACCTCCCACATGTTTAACCTCTAAACATTAAGAAAACAACTTTGGAAAAATTCCCCTTGTTAAAACAAAACTCCATGGTTTATGGGGAATTTGCTTTCTGGGAAACTGTCGGTTAGTGAGGAAGTCTAACAGCTGCTTGATTCACATCAAATAAATGAAAAATATTTACTTTAACCAACATTTTAAATGACCAGTGTAGAAACAGCTGTAGGCATCAAGATTATTTGCATTAACTGGTGTGTAACTAGTCTGTTTAGTGTGTAATGATCACATAACTTCTGCAAAGCACTGCATCTATATTTGACTCTAGATTTCAGAGAGTATAATACGTCATAGCAGGCTATGAACTGTAAATAGACCGCAGCAGAGCCAAGTCATAAACACCTCTGAGGTCCACTTTAGACCACGGAGGGGGTTTTGACTGTTTGGTTTTTGGCTTTAAAAAACAGTTTTCTGAAAGTAATAATATATATTAACACTTTAATAGCACTTTTATACCCTAAAATGCTTACAAAGTTTAGCTAATGTAACTCATTATTATTGTTATTATCTATCACTAAGCTCTTGGCAGCTCATGTGTAGCATTTTATGCGCAACCAAAAGACTAATTTTGTTTTATTTTGTATTGTAAAACATTATAAAATATAAAAATTATTATACATAATAATGATAACAGTGCAATATCTTACTGAGACTGTGTAAATACTTCTGTAGCTGTATAATGATATATTGTTTATAAAGTATACTTTTAATGTAATAAAATTATTTTTATATATATGACCATTTTATTTGAATGTAAGTTGTTTTACAATTATATGCATTTTTGAGGATTTTAAACATGATTTTTAACATGTATGCACTGATTGGATCATATCTCAGTAATGTTCTAGTAAGATTATATACCACACATGCACGCACTCACAGACAAGGATCCGCTGGAAAGCTTCCCAATGTGTTTGCAAAAATAGGGCCCTGGTTGTAAATGTGTCGTTACAACCTTTCAGCACTGAGTATGTGCCGCGGCCCACAGTTCTGACCCCTCAGCACCACATTGCAGCCGGATCGCACACGGTCATACTTTCTCCTGCAATTGCAATCAGCTGGACTTTTAACACAGAGGTCAGTTTCACCACAGACACAGTGAACTTCACCAAACATGGACTGACAACTGAGACAGACAAATAATGACTGAAACACACACAACTCTTACTCAAACACACACATAGGGCACAAAGGAGACCCAGTGAAAATAAAACATGACAAAAATATATAGCTGGTCATTTGTGAGTACCAAAGGTCTATGAACCTCAAGAATTGGCAGCTGAAGTCTTTCAGGTGTTTTCAGTCCATGAAAGGTGTGAACTGATGCTCCTATTTTATCTGAAGAGCAGTGGGATCCATCAGAGTCTGACTCCATTACTGAGGACCACCGAAAGAGAGTTATTGTTGCTCATCACACTACACTACACAGTCTGACAGATTATTTACAAACACAAGAAAACACTTTTAACCATCAAATGAGCGATTAAACAACAAATATCCCTCTGAGAGTAAGGCGTGTATTAGGAAATCATAAAAGTCAAAAAGGTAGTAAAGGGGGCAACTTTAGGGAAAGGGAAAATCCTCTCATGTCTGCTAATGTTCATGTTAATGAGGAATAATGTACAGCTGGTCTAAATCTGTAGTTTGCTAAATATAACCTGGACCTGCCAAACATCTGTTTGAACAATGTTTCAGATGAGACTAAAATAGAACTTTTGGCATTGAATGTAAATTGTTTGGAGATGAGAAACCATTGCATTCCTGCATAATGGTGTCTTTTTTTGGGTCTGTTTAGCTACACTGGGGTCAGGACGACTCACCGTCTTTGATGGAGCAATGCATTCTTGAATAATACTTCAAAGGAAAATGTTAGGATATCTTTCTGTGAACCGAACAACGAGAGACAGCAAGAAATTTAGCTTAAGCACACAGCTTCTGCTACTGAAGAATGGATGGTGATATTTTTGAATGACCAGGTTTAAGTGTTGACCTTAATCCACCAAAAATGTTGTGGAAGGATTTGATTGGAGCAGCTTATGTGAGGAAATCCACCAACACCGCAGAGCTGAAGCTCCTGAGCAGCTAAAATTCCTCATTTATTGGAATAATGAAGGTTCTGCTGCACAGGCACTGAAAGCATCATACCTGTATATTTGTTTTCCACTTCACAGATATGTTTTACCAGCTAAGTATAATATCACTGTGGTTTTGGTACATCTTTGGAACATTTGGCTAATGTTTTGGTTTATATTTACAATTAAATTCACCTGCATGATGCTGTTTCAGATACAGGAGGAGATGATATGTAACACAAAAATACAATACCATTACCAAAACTGTTTTATCTGCAAAGTTGCACATAATAAAAATAAACTGGATACATTATTTCGGTTTCACCATCTGCACACTTTGAGAGTCCAACTTAAAATCACAATTTCTCCACTAACAGATACTTTTCTATCATTTTCATAGTTGGAACTGAATGCTACAGGCTTATATATGCTCGCTGAAACTTCTAGTGTCAATTTCTCTGGCTCAGAAGGTGACAAAGCCAGCTACTGTATCTTTGACACATCTGTGGAAAAGTGAAAGTCAGCAGCTTTCAGAGTGTGAGAGGAGAGGGAGAGTGGGAGGTGTGGCTGACCGCAGAATGCCGAACTGCTGCCAGGCGTAATAAAAACCTGCAGTCGTAAATGACAAGCAGAGGTGAAATCAAAAACAAGACAAGGTTCTTTTTGTACCTTTCACTCTCTTTGAGAATATAAGATGCACTCGCATGAAAGTAAGTTTGCTTTTGGCCCACAGCTTTGCTATGGAAGCCCAGAGTTTCCATGGAAAAGCTTGAGTAGGCAGCTGTGCTATTAAATGGAAAATACAGTTTTAACCAGACATAGGTTTACCAAACTTTCTGGTTATCTGTCATCTTTATGATGTTATGTTTAACAACACAAAATTCAATAAAGAAGAATTTTTGTGCGGCTTTTTTAAATTTTACTTGGCGTCTTGTGCACCACACTGTGATGAGCTCATCGCTGTCATCTGTGGCTGGAAGCCAGAGACCCCACTGGTGATTGGTTAGAATGCAGTTTTAGAGGAAACAGATGCACAGATGACATTGATGCTTTATCTGAAGTGTTTCCAAACTGCACTCTTTAACCACCTACACCACCAACCACAACTCTGCCCTTTTAGGACTGGAAACAACTTCAAGGCTAATTGGTTCTCATCTATAGTTAAAAGAGCAGCTGCTTCCACAATGGAGTTTATTGTAGAAATAATATATAGTTCTTCGAGTGCCCCCTACAGAGCCCTCAGTAGCAAATCTACACAGCACACACAGCCATGATCGTGTTTCACCTGATGATACCTTGTAAATGTATTTTTAGTCGTGATCATATCTTTAATTCAGTTGAGAGTTTGCTCGTCAAATCTTTTCCCCATCAGTTGGATAAACTAAAGCGCACATGGCCATGAGGCTAAAACTACAGCTGGATGGTTTCTCTCATTCCTGAAAAGCTGAGATTCTAAAGTCGTGAACTGTGTGAACAAACTTACAGGTGCAAATATTTCTTCATTTATACAAAGACATCACTAGCATGAAAATCATCCAGCTAAGTTGCTGGTTCAGGTTTCTCTGAAAATGTCAAATCAAAAAGGTCACTAATCTTTTAACCTTTGACCTTTAAGCTCTGACCCCAGCAATACCTGAATCACCCTAACATCCAGTTTCATGTAGATTAAATCAAGAAGCATAGTTAAATGAAGAGATCATCTGCAAGGAGCAGCAGTTTGTAAGTTATCTCATAAACCTCGCCGTGCCAGAAGTCGTGAATTAGTGAGCTCGTTAAAGAGAGACAGTTTGATGATCGTATCATTCTCTCGAAGGCCAAAGGCCCCAGGGCGGGGGGCAGACGTGGCCGGTGGCCTGAGACCTGCTCCCATCCAAACTTCTGACATTTCACTTGATATGTTGCATTAACGCTATGTGAAGTATGCCAAGATTGTGTGACAGTATGTATGACTGTGTATTTATCTAACAAGCCGACAAGATTAAATGTATCCTATAAATGTAAGGAAGTAATTAAAAACTGAGAAACTGAATTTTAAAAAACTTGCTGTGTTTTGAAAGAAAAAAACAGAAAATATACAGCAGCGTACTGTAGCCCTGTGCAGTACCTGGTATTTCAATTGAAATATGAAAAACTGCAGGCCAAATACATCAAACAGACTCTGGGCTCAAAAACTACACATGTACCAAATAAACAACTCACAAAAAATATGAGCCCCAACCAGAGAACAGCTCACTCCTTAGTCTGGATCTTTAGACGTAACACAAATTCATCATATTCATCTATTTGTTTCACTTTGGCTCTCATTGATATTATCCAGTTTAATTAAGTTTCATTTTCACTCTGCTTGTTAATTTAACTGAAAAGTTACAGATGAAATTTTTCCTGGAAACAAGCAGCAAAAATCATCCTTCAGCTGTTATTCCTGTGAGCGCAGCTTTACTCCAGTTCTGCAACCAGTAGGACCTGTAGTAAGAATAGGACAAATATCAGGGGAATTGTTCAAATTTGGACAAATATTGTTTTACATTTTTACATTTACAGAAACCTTGCTACTAAAAGTGAGCATTTTAAAGATTAAATATAAATATAAACACTTTTTATGTGACTGCAATAGTTACTTGATCATGTGACTGTCTCGATGTTTTCACTGAGATGCCTAAATGAGAACAGCTGAGGCCAGTTAATGATTTTGAAAAGTTTTTTGTTCTTCTGATTCTGAATGAAGCCACTTCACTGTTCCAGACTTTACTTCATACCATGCTGATGTAGAATTGGCATTTGTTTGGTGGAGCAGAGCGTGTACCAAAAAACAAACAAACAAAAGTTTAAAAAAAGACACTGCAGTATTGTTTTGTGGCTGACTTTAAATGAAACTCACATGTGCTGAGACAAGAGATTCAGAGCAGAATTTAAATGTACACTTGAACCTCATTTGGATCTGAAGGAGGAAAATCGATCTCCTCTAATGGGTACATGTTGACTCCAGGAACAGGCTTTGGATTCTTTAAATCGTATCCCTGAGCCAAGAAATAAAGTACTTATGTATTTTTTATGGAGTGCTGATGAGTGTGCTCTTGAAGGTGATGCTAGGCTATGATTAGACTCAAGTCCAGCTGGCTGTTTAGTTAGTCTGTCTGAGTGAGCTGCACCAGACTGGTTTCACAGACTCTGTTGTAAATGCATCATTAAAGCTGTCATTTTTTTTGCAGTCATTGAAAAGATGGTGGATTTTGTGGATTATTTACATAACAGGTTAGGTATAAGGGTTGTGCAGGGACGTAGAGACAGTCTGTAACTATAACTGTACAAAAAGAACAAATATTGCTGGGATATTGTGCGCAAGCATAATATCAGTATTAACTGACTGTTCATGGCCAAATCACGCCCAGGCCAGAGAAAAGAGAAACGTGTCCCAGTGCTCCAGATGGGCAGTTTACCTGCCAGTGACTTTACTCTTGCAACAATGGCATCTCTTGGTCAGATGGCAAAATTTTAATTTGTCCCAAAGGACGACTAACATTGCTGTTGAGTGTTTAAAGTACGTGAGAACCTGCAGGGTTTACAGGCGTCAGAAAGGAACAAAAACAAGTTTTTATCAGAAGTTTCAGTGTTGAGAGTAATGCACATTACACATCAGAGTCAGGAATGACCTGTTAAATTTGAT